TATCTCGCGGTAAGATGATGCCGTACACAAAAGATAATCGAATTCGCTGCTAGTTTACAAGAAAGAAGGAATAATTGCACTTTAAAAATGACGGGCAAATGACAAGCGTAAATGAACAGCTAATGTTATGGTTCCAATTAGTAAGTCTTTACGCGCTATTGGTATTTGCAGTAGTCTTGCTTGTTGAATCCGAAGATACAGCCGTTTACGCACGGCATCCGCTAGTCGCCTGAGCAGCTTTTTTCTACCTCAGGGTATTAATCACTTGTGGGAAAGAAGAATTTTATGAGGTGTAAATAGTATTCAGAAGATTAGGTCAGCCGACTATCGTAAAACAAACTCTATACGCTGATAGCGGCAGGGTGATGGATGGGTCACCCAAACAGTCGATGAACGCGCGCACTCTCTCTTGGGTATATGTGTGTATGCTTATGCCTGCATACGCATACGGTGGTGCTGAGCAGATCGAGAAAGTTATTAACCAAGACGGACTCAGTTTTGCCTCTCCGATTCATTAATCAACCATGCGATTCAGCAACCTCTTCTGCTCCGAATTTCTATTTTTTACTTATAACACCTAATGAGGGGGGTCGAAAATACTGCAACTTACAAGGTTGTGTTCTAATGACAAAATCATCTGATTTAAAGAAACTAACTAACAGCTTGCAATCGACTCTCCATCAGTGACTAATCACGGATGATTGATCAGTAAATTTATGTAATAACTTTCACTACCTAGAATACGAATGCATATTTGGAAAGCAGCTTGGCTAGATGGCGAGTATATCAGCTCGCTCCTCAATCGTTGTAATTTTGAGTCAGGCAGTCAATCACTGGGTGGAAGTACAGAGCTGTGGGAACACTAGGTTGAAAGCACAGAGCAGATGAACAGACAAAGGAGGGAGCGTGCACCTTCAAGGTAGAAGGTATAGAACCGGCTATTAGTGTTTAGGGGGTATCAATGCAGGATGGTGCTGGGATGCCGTCATCCAGGACTGATTTGGAAGCAGTTTTGCGAAGTCTCTGCCATTCGTTCATGTTAGATCAGGAATCCCACGCCAAAGCATAAGACCGAATCAACTTGTAAAACAACTTACAAATTGCATTCGCCGATACCGTACCAAATGCACCAGAGCTTGTTGGAATTAAGAGACATCAACCATCACCATTTTATTTAACAAATATTTATTTCCAAAATTGGTGGTTACTTGCATGACAATATGTGATTAAAAATAGTATGCATTATTGCATATAAAAGTCAAATAGATCTATTTAATATGAAACATTTTGGGCAAATGTTTATAGTAACACAACTTTGTGAGTAACAACATCAGAAAGATTGAGAACCACTGCTCTGGAGCATGTTACATTTGATGCAAAGGTGCAGAAACTGCAGCAGTAGCGATATTTACGTGAGGCATATGTCGGCCCGACACTGTAGGTTAGCTAGCTAGACGGATGGCGTCCAAGGACAATGCACTTAGTGTTACTAAAAGGACATATGGCATTTTGGCTACTAGAATAATAGTACTCATTGCGAAACACTATGCCGAGCGAGCTCCGGTTCAAAGAGGCGCATAGTGCTATCATGCAAATTAATGTTCTAAATCGGCCGACGAATGAGGTGGGTACCCCATTCCAATTGCACATTTATAGTAAGGCAGAAAATGTACAAAATATCCAGTGCACTCATGTGGCCACACCTCAAACACAGTGCAAAACATAAAAGCCAGAAAAGCAAAGGACATGTGCGCCAAACCCATCGCCAAACCAACCACCCGTAATGCCTCGAAAAACAGCAAGCGATTACTATTCAAGGTGAGAAAAGATATATTTCTCGAACCGAAGGTATTCGATTTTCCATATTGATAAAAGAAATGCACTCCGGTATTTATTCCATGCTCAAGCTTTCAAAATATACTTATTGATATTTGATTACGTTCGGCAACAAAAACGTAAGATCCCATGTTCAAATCATGGAGGTTGCGAGCAGACCTTTGCGGGTGGTTAGGGAATTCCACTCTTCCGAAGTGATCGTTCTACCAGTTTTTTGGATGATCCAGTTAATCGGGTCACTGATGCCTTGTAGCACGTTTAGGTCTGAGTTTCAAGAACAACTGCCGCATGCTGTCTACCGCAGAGACAGCATCCCCCCTAATAAACGCAGTGGCATACAGCCACCATCTAACCTCAGGCGATTTCCATGTAAGCGGCATGGAAGCCTTGACAACCATAGAAGACAATATAAGGTAAGGTGTTATCGCGCTTTCCCTACTAATTATCAAACCACCTCACATACAGATATAAAGTTAATGAAGGCCAATGCAGTTGCAAACGATTATCCAGTGAACTATTAAAGCCACGTGACAGTGTCCCCAGTGTCCCGCTGAAAACGCCTTTGTTTAGTTCATTGAGAATTTTGCTTCAAAAAATAATCTGTTTCGTTCCGCCGAAAATTTATCGCTCATCAGAAGCGAATCTAGCAAAGTATGTCAGTTAGGGATGTGTCCTGTCAAGCTTACAAGGCAGTTCCTGCCCCGGAATCTGGGACGACTATGTGACCGAGCCCCCATAATTCACTTGTCCGTGAGGACAAAATTGCTTACCACCAATACCTGATTTGTAAATGTTCCATTAAGGAACGCTGTTATATAAGCCTGTTAGTAGAATTTGCAACGTAACGCGCTGTATCCCATTATTTAGCAGGACACATGGTGTGACACAAAGTACTGAGAAAGTAGCACATTTGCAGCGGAGGCAGCAGAAATCAACTTTCAAACAAGCTGTCTGTCAGTGTGTCACATGTTCACATCCACAAATGCAATTTCAACACGCCTTCCCATCACTTTTACCATCAAGTATGTGGAAAGGAAACTACTCCCATTCACCCGGGATCCATGACATATAATCGTGTGCGCTGAATGTAAAAACAACTGCGTTGACCGACCCATTATGTAATTCTTACAATATACCCTTAAATAGACACATTTTGTCTATCATGTTTAAAATTATGGGTGCATTTTCAAAAGCCGCAGTCGCTGTTGAAACTACAAACAATTACCGGGTATTCCTGCTCCCTGCACGCTTATAGGTAATGGAGGTAATCAGCGTTGTGACTATTGCATAAATAAATAAATAAATAAACCTTTTGTTTATGACAACGCAATGCACACCTTTACATGCGTGATCGTGTTTACATAAACAGTGTGTTCAAAAGTGTGCATAAATACACATTTTAGGTAAAAGTGAAAGCATGTGCATGGGTGTATATACGTTCGAAGTTTTTCTATGGCGCGGTAGCCTACGGTACGTTGCGGCTGGTGGTGGCTACATCCTGACAGTTGATCTGCCCACTGCTGATTCTTTTGTGCCAAGGGCTCATGTCATGGACGGATGTTCGAATTGACTATGGGTGGGAGATGAGTTAAGCCCTTCTACATGCTACGATACTGGACACCAACCCGTATGAGTCAGCGAATTATTCATGTGCCAGACCCTTTGCATTTCGGGTGTTAATTTACCCGGAGGTTTGGCTGAGGACCCGAGGCGTTCTCCTCTCTGGTGTGCCCGCCCTTCCAGTATCTTATTCCACACACTTCGGAGGTTAGGAAGTGGTCGTTCGCCTTCTTCCCGTAAACGTAGCCATGTGTGACAATAGGTATACAAGTTATAAACTCACAGCTCGATGGCGTAGAGCAAGAGTGCCACGCATTTTATGACTTTAAGTGGGCACCCACGGATGTTTGATGGTTTTCCACTGCTCGACTCAAGCCAGACAGCCACGGGTCAAATTAGTGCAAACCTGCCAATACCCAGCTGGGTCTGGCCGTGGTCGCTGGTGTATGCTAGTACGGTTGCAAACTCTTCGTATGACGGCCGTCACACAGATCCAAATCTATCAATGCAATTACATTCCCGAGCTGGATCTGCTCCCTACTGCATTGTGGGTCTGGCTATTTGGCAAAAGGCTTCGGGTGGAGTTCCTAAAGGAGTCACCAAACCAGCTACTGCCTCGTGTGTCAGCCTATTTATCCAAAGGTTCCGGGTGGAGTCCCTCGAAAAACCTCCAAATAAACCATTGCCTTGTGTGTAAGGCTATTGAGCCAAAGGCTCCAGGTTGTTTCCTTCAAACTAACTTCCGAAGCATATCCTCTACTTCACGTGGAGTTGCACACCAATGCAATCGCGTGCATGCGCGCAAAGCACTCAGCATCGGCTGCTGGAACATGCGCACGCTATTGGGCTGGAACTCCAGCGAGCGCTCTGAGCGACGCGCTGCGTTCGTTGCGAGGGAATTTGCGGGCAACCACATCCATATTACGACATTCGGTGAAACTCGGCTCGCTGAGCCATATAAGTTACATGGAGCAGGTTCTATCTACACATTCTACAAGGTGAACAAAGCCGCCGCAGCACCACGTGAACGTGGGCTCATATTGGCAATATCCGATCGCCACCATGGCCGGCTAGTAGATGAACCAATGGGCATCAGCGCGCGACAGATGACTGTTCGCTTACGACTCGGAAGAGCTAAGTTTGCCACCTACATAAGCGCGTACGGTCCGACCATGTGTTATCCTGATGACACGCTTGATCAATTCTGCACTCAGCTATCCTCCGTGATGCGGTCCGTGCGAAGGAGCGACCGACTATTTCTGCCGGGTTATTGCAACGCACGCTGTGATCGGCGTGCGTGATGCGTCGGTGTGAACAGCTGTTATCGGTCCGCATGCTATTGCTTTAGCGAATGTGAACGCAGTCTGCTCTCAACCTGAGCCACTCACGGCCTGACGATCACGAAAACCCGGTTTTCACTGAGTGAGTGTGATACAGCAAGTTGGACGTACCCACCGCTTGGTAACGCTCACCCGCTAGACTATGTCATCGTACGTCAGCGTGATATGCGTGAAGTGCGCATGACACGTGTACGGCGTGGAGCTGAGTGTGGCGGAGATCACAAATTGGTGCAAACCAAACTGTGCATTTACTTTCGTAAATCAATGTATTGTATTGCCGCCGTGCATCGGCGTAAATTTAGCATTCTGTTCTTCGGTACAGTGACGGAAGGTATTGAGCTAGACTTAGCGATGGCTGCACGCCTGAGTGACGTGGACTGCATATCCACAGTGGACGACCTGTGGCACCACATTCACGACCAGGTGACAATTGCTACCGAGGAGACCATGAAACGCACAAACTTTATGCGGCTTGGTTTAGTTGATGAGGACAATGCGAAGATTGGTACTTTGGTGTCGAAGAAAAAGGCAGCATTTACTGCACAAGTGGCAGACCCAAGTGAGTTGAGGAAGAGTAGTCAGTTTAGCAAATTTCGACGGCGACTGACTTAAGGGCTTCATTGTATTAAAGATGCAAGTGGAATGAGAAGACGAAGCAGGTGAAATGCCATGCCGAACGCCGTCAACATAAGTAACTCCTTAACTCCATAGAAGCGGTGTATGGACCGAGATTGGAGCTGCTGAGGACGCTGATCAATAGTAGTTCAGGCGCTACCTGCACCCAGACTGCAGACATAATGCAGATCTGACCAAAACACTTTGACTGTAACTTGCACAACCTTTCAGAGAGCGACTGGGCTAAATTGAACGGCCCCAAGCAGCAGAATGTAAAGGCGAGTCTGGCGGACACACCGTCATTGGATGAGAGGCAGAGAGCATTTGCTCAGCTAAAAATGGCAAGTGTCCTGGGACCGACGGCATCCCGCCTAAATTATTGAAACTGGGCGGACCCAACTTGTTGACTGCGTTGCACCAATTGGTGCAACGCGTATGGATTGAGAAGGTGGTGTCACCTCAGCTAAATGGTGCCCTTGAGCTATTACTGTAAAAGGTCAAAGTATGAGAGCAATGTCGCACGAATTATTGTGGCATCACCTTGCTTGGTTGTATAGGCATGGTAATTGACTAAATCTTGCTCTACTGCCTCACCAGTCAGGTTGTAGAACTTAATGTAACGGAACAGCAGTGCGGATTCCGCACGGGTCGTAACACTACAGATATGGTATTTAGGGCTCGTCAATTTCAAGAGAAATGTAGAGAAGCACAACGGATATTGTACTCACTTTTTGTTGCTTTCACCGAGGCCTTTGATACGGTGAACCGCGAGGCGTTGTGGCTGGTGTTAGAGACGTTTGGTTGTTCGCGTAAGTTTGTACCTTTAATTGTATGTCTGCGCAGTGGTATGCGAAGGAGGGAGCAGCTGAGTAAAGAGACCTCGGGTGAATTTGCAGTTGTCTCTGGTTTGAAGCAAGGCTGTGTCTTAGCTCCTGTCCTCTTTAATATATATATTCATGCAATGTTTTCCTGTGCTTTTGATGCCGCTTGTGCTTACGGTGTTCGTGTGGAGCACCGTATTGATGGTGGGTTGCTGAACATCCGTCATTTCGGTGCGAGAACTCTAGTATTTGAGACAACTAACCTATGTTGCTGTTTGCTGACGACTGTGCGTTGTTTGCAGACGACGCGGCTGAGTTGCAGCACATGACCAGTGCGCTGGCCTCGACAGCGGCCATATTCGGGCTCACCAACAACACAAGCAAACTGTTTGTCGCCTTCAGCCTTCACCGGAGATTTAATCTTCAATATTACCGCTAATCAGCCTTGGTGCTGAAGTATTGGAAACTTGCTCCCGCTTCTGCTACCTTGGGAGTGTGATGTCGAAGGATCAGTAGCTACAGAATAAGCTGCGTAGCCGCGTCTCGAAGGCAACGGCTGCATTCGGAAGCTAGCGTACCGAGTGTAGAGCATCCATCAGCTTACCATTGGCCCGAAGCTGATGGTGTACAAATCTATGGTGCTATCCATTTTTCTATAGGGCAGTGAAAGTTGGACGATGTACCGGCGGGATACGCGATATCTCGAGCTGTGTCATGAATAGTTTTTGCGGCGGATTTTGAGCATCGGATGAGGCGACAGATTTGCGGAAAAGGAACTGTTGAGACAAAGTGGGATGTATGAATTGGACTGAATACTTTTGCCGAGACACCTAAGGTGGCTTGGTCACGTGAACCGTATGGATTCGCCGCTGGTACCGAAGCAGCTGTTATACCGTCAGCTGCGTAATGGGGAGGAGCATGCAGGGAAACTAATGTTACGTTAGCAGAACGTGATCGATATGAGCCTGTCACTTTCTAATCTTTGTTGTAGTTCGTGCGAATTGAAGACGGTTGATCAGTGTGCATTGCGCGATCTGATCACGTAGGCAGTTGCCGAAGTGCGAGCGAAACTCCTCATCCAAATAGAGAAGAAGCGGCAAGGGAGGAAGCGGTTAGCACCGATGGCTGTTACTCCTTTGACGTCGAGCACATGGTGCTGTAGCACATGTGGTCACGTGTATCTGAGTCATGCAGTCCTAGTGAGCCATGAGCGAGACCACTCGGGACCAGTACTGAATCAACGGCGGGTCCTGCATAGAACGTACGCAGAACCGGTGCAGCGTTTGTAGGTACGCTGCATTCGACCTACTAAACGTGTGCTTGCATGCTAAGTCTGTTTATTTCAGGTGTTGCGTTACCAAATTTGTCTTAATGCTTTTTTCTCAAATAAATGTCTATAAGTACTCTGTTGTCTAAACTTGCACACGTCGCTTAAGAAAATTGTAGTTAATTTCGATAACATTTTTATGTTTGGGGCATCTCCGTAAAATATACTTGCTGACCTCGTGAACTTATTTTGGCTTCTTTTATAAATAAATTATTTCATATGGTCATAAATTTAAGATTGCCACTGTTTCCTTACGCATTACTCCATATATTTTCTTTGTTATCTCTCTCTCAGGTGATTGGCCGTTAATTGGTCTCCCCGGTGTGGCTGTGCTTGATGTGCATGTTGACAAGGTACCTGCATTTCCATAACCCACCACTTCCTCCATACTGGCTCTAAGACACAGTTCATTGATGCTTAAGGAGACGAAGTACACGTTCCTTGTGGCTGTGTTAGGATCAAACAGTGGTTCCATGCACTCCGTGTGGAGCGGACTACGGTCGATTCACTGTCTAATGTGCAACTGATTCCCAAATACAGCGTGCTGATGTTTGTCTGTGAATGCGTATGGGCCGACTCCGTTGAGGAAACGTTACTCTCATCCACATGCCTCTCAGTCTTACTAATTCGGATTTATATTGGATGTGGGGTGCGGGGATGGAGCAGTGGGTGTTGTAGCGCAAGCCATCCATGGTCCCACTAAAGGCGCAGGCGTAATGTATGTGGCCAGAGTGAGAGGCAGATCCAAAACCGGATGCCGCCAACCAATTGTTCTGTATTAAGCTGGGTAGCTTGTGATTTTAAGTGCGATGGTGTTTTCATCTGTTATCGTCAGGAAGTTGAAAATATGTAACTGATGTCGGAGTGTTGGATAGCTTTTTCCCGTTACTGAAACTGTAACGTCATGGCACCAGTAGTTAAACAGGAGCAGCCGAAAAGAGACATGAAATATTGTGCTATACCTAGAGCTCTCCAAAGCGTACGGGCTGGACCACAGCATCGTGTTTCACAAATTCGAAGCACATGCATATAAGATTCCCTTTTTGTTTGAGCAAAGAATTTTCTGCAGCAGCCACAGATACATGACAGCTTTTTACGTGCACTTTTCAATCCGATTAAGTTTGATTGCAAAATTCTACAACGCTCCCTTCTTGAGATGCAGCCGTTTCCTGCGTTCACTGAGGAGCTTTAACAATGGCTCGCCACGGATTTCATGCGTTTCTCTGATTATTTCAGAAAGAGGAGAGCAATCGTCAACCAAGGAGATCACGATGTTAGTTTGCGAGCTGTTGACAGTGCCTAGGAGATTCCAAGCCGTCTTCTACTGCAATTTAATTTGTTAAAATATACGGTGGCCGAACCCCATCTACAGGCTTGTAGATCATGTCCTGCATTCAGTCACTGATGTGCGCGAAATTGAGGTCTAAACCCAAGCTAAGCTTGGCTACCCATTACAACCTGAGAATGTGGCACAAACTCGAAACCAAGCTACTAGTATGCTACAGGACGCATGCGGACATTTTGCGCCATCGCTCTGTCCAAAGCTGCTTAGTATATACCTGCGGAAGCAAATAGAATAAGTACCATAAATGTAGCAGGTCTGACACAAGCAAGATCCCGCAACGCTCAAGATTCCACAACGAACAGCCGCCAAACCAAAATCAACGTACTGTTCCCCCTTCCACATTAACTAATGTCTAGTACCACAAGGTTAGACGGCATCAAATTTCCGTCGCAATCCGCTGCAACTCAGTTGCAACATGAACTTAACGCATCATCATTTCAGGATGGCTACATAATAACAATGACTAGATGGCTACTGCTATTTTAGCACTTGTCCTCTCTGTTGTATTGGAACGCGTTTCCAAACTCTTCCTTTTCATCTTCTCATGGACTGTGTTTGAAATGTGTATCGAACTTGCGCTAAACCACCTACAGGAGGAAATTTAACTCATGGTGGATATAAAAATTGGGTGTTGTCCATCCGAACACATTACAGTACTCTGACGCATTTCGATGTTACCAGCTCACATCAGATAGAGTAAGCAGACATCGAAACCGGGACCATTAAGATGTTAGTTGTGGCCGCTACCCCTAAGCACTTGGGTCATGACTGGCAAAGCTTAGCACAACACTTAATCAACGATGTTGTGGATCATTTTGAAGTACACGTTGTTTGGATGGGTTGGGACGAACAATCTCATTGTTTACCACCATTTCCATTGAAGTGAACCTTGGTATTTCGGTCACAAGGATTGTAGCTGATGAGAATAGTAATTGGGTGTTGCATGCTCTATAATAATTCACTTGTATGAAGCGTTTCTTCTCATTAGCTAGAGATGACAAGCATCGAACACGGTGCCTTAGGGGTAGGGGTCACAACTAGTTTCCCTATTGTCCCGGTTTCGTTGCTTGCTATCTATCTGCTGAGAGGCAAGCATGTCGAAAAGCGGCATGGGACTGCAGTGTTTCGGACGGGCAATACCCAATTTTTATCAACTTCAGCTGAGCTCTCCTGCTCGCATGACCAAGGTTAATTACAATAAGGAGCGCGGTCGATATTAAGGTTGCACGTCACAATTTCTACACACGTATGCTTCGAAATGACCTTCATAATCTAACGCATGAATTTCAAAAGAGGTTACTATCTGAAACGTTACAAAGATAAGTTTTACTCTGCGGAGCCCACGCAGAGTGTTTCACAAATCCATCAGTGAAGTTGTGAGGTTCCCAATACTCTGTCCATTTTTCCCTATTCTTTCCTTTTGCCATTACCGGATAATGAAACATAGAAGCAAATCTCTTAACACACTAACGAGCTAACTGCGATATGCGGAACCATAAACAGA